TAAGATAATTTTATACTGTATGTAAAGATATTTGTGTATTGCTGTACATACTGTGCATATTAAGCAATGTGTAAGCGTTTGAAACTGCATAAGCGCATAACTAATGCTCTCTGCACTGGACTTTAGACCTCCTTTTAGTTGGTCAATGGCGCAGTCTTGTTTAGTTCCTCAAAATAACAACGCGCCAACAATGCGCCTTAACACACCTCCTTTTTAGCCCAGCACACACATGAATCCACAAAGTGGCGCAAGTGGATTTGCTATTTTAAACAGCGTGGCGCAAAATGTGAAAATAATTGCTGTGCTGGTCTGAAAATAGCAACAAACCGCTCCAAACACGATTTGCACTATACTGCGCCGGGTGTATGATAGAATGTGAATCAATGATTTGATGGCCAGCAGAAAAACACACTACGGAAAATATTGCTGTTACTTCTGGTCGTTATTACAAACCTTTAGTGTATCTACATCTGCTGTGTGTTTTGTGTGTCTGCAGTGAAGTGCAGTATGTCGTGCTTCAAAACGTGGCCACCATGACCATCAAGAGAAGGGTGAGCGATACACTATTTAACACAGTAAATTGGAATTAAATATCTTTAAAATCGTTCAGATACATTCTGATTAAGTATTTATCGAAAAAAAGTCTTTATGTTTATGTTTTTGTTTAAAGATTTGACCTTGAGATCGTTTTAAATGCTTTTCTGCAAAGGCAAAATTTAATACAAAAGTTCAACCAGCATTCAAAATGTGTTGATGCATACGTTCACATGCTGTTGTGGTGTTTGAATATGCAGCGTTTTGTCTTGTAGGGAATGTTTGAGCCGTATCTGAAGAGTTTTTATATCCGCTCCACCGACCCGACGCAGATCAAAATTCTCAAGGTGACGCTGCGTTTTGCTTTGGAACATGTTTTATTTATTGTGTGCTTTCATATTATGCCATGCAGTTATTTCTCTAAAGAGTTTTGAGTAAGAGTGTTTTCAATTCTCTGTTTCTGACACAGCTGGAGGTTTTGACTAATTTGGCTAACGAGACGAACATCTCCACCATCTTGAGAGAATTTCAGGTAGATTACACTGTGTAGTACAATGCTGTATATCTATTAAAAGTTTGGGCTTGAGGTGATATTAGTAAGATTATACTGTAAGTAGCGACACGGTGGCTCAGTGGTTAGCACTGCCACCTCACAGCAAGACGGTCGCTGGTTTGAGCCCCGCCTGGGTCAGTTGGCATTTCTGTGTGGAGTTTGCATGTTCTCCCCATGTTTTCTCCGGGTGCTCCGGTTTCCCCAACAGTCCAAACACAAGTGCTATTGGTGAATTGAATAAGCTAAATTGGCCATAGTGTATGTGTGTGAATGACAATGTATGGATGTTTCCCAGTACTGGGTTGCAGCTGGAAAGGCATCCGCTGTGTAAAACATATGCTGGATAAGTTGGTGGTTCATTCCACTGTGGCGACCCCTGATTAATAAAGGGGTAAGCTAAAAAGAAAGTGAATGAATGAAAGAACTTGTAATTATGTGAACTGTTTTGTCCACCAACTATAGATGACGAATTGCATATAACTCAGTATATACATTGATTATAACACAGGAAATAGAGAATTAAATGTGTCTCTGTTTGTATTGTAGACGTATATTAAGAGCATGGATAAGGATTTTGTAGCTGCCAGCATTCAGGCTATTGGTCGATGTGCTACCAACATCGGTGAAGTCAGAGACACGTGTCTGAACGGCCTCGTACAGCTGCTGTCCAACAGAGATGGTGAGAAAATGTGTTTTTTTGTTTTAATAAAACTGCTTTCAAATCCCACAGTGCCTTAAACTATCCATTATGTGAGAGTCATATTCATGAAGTCACTGCATTTGTTGTCATGAGAGGTTCTTATAATGCATTAAAGAAACACTAGTGTCTTGTTTTAGCATACAACCAATTAAAAAGTCAATCAAAACAAGCCTTTGTACCGTATTTGCTTGAGGAAGCCTGGCCAGAGAAGTGTGTGAATGTGTTCGAACAGCAGTTTGAGGCTGGAAATGAAAGATTTTTAGGTCATAATGTTTTGGGTTGTTTGCTAGTGTTGTTATGTGGCTGCTACAGCATATGCTAGTATTCCTGCAATGTTTTAGCACATTCTGTCATGTTTTACAACATTGTTAGCATGTTAGTGACATATTTTTGCATGTTGTTAGCATGTTTTAGAACCCTTTAAACATTTCATTTGCATGTCTTACCACATTGATAGTATATTTTGGAACATTGCTAGCATGTTTTAACGCTTTGTTAACATGTTTAGTTAAATGCTATCAGGCCTTAAAGCTCTGTTACAATGTCAGTAGCGTTTTTCCCACATTTCGAGCACGTATTGGCAAAATGCTAGCTTTTATAAGGTTGTTATAATGTTTAAACATTGTTGTTAGTGTGATTTGGAACATTGTTGACATGTTTCAGCATATTGGTAGTATGTTTCGTACACTGGTATAAGGTCTTAAAGATTCGCTACCTTGTCAGTAGCATTTTCCCCACACAACAAGTATGTATTACTACACTGTTAGGATTTTTACCACATTGTTGCAAGCATGCATTAGCACACTGTTAGCATTTTTAACACATTGTTAGCCTGTTTTAATATTGTTGTTATTGTTAGTTTTACAACATTGTTATCATGTTTTGGATCATTGTCAGCATGTTTTAGTGTTTTTTAGCATGTTTAGTTAAATGCTATCAGGCGTTAAAGCTCCGTTACAATGTCAGTGGCATTTTTCCCACCTTTCAAGCATGTATTAACACAATGCAAACATATTTACAATGTTGTTAGCATGTTTAGTAAAATGCTATCAAGTCTTAAATCTTCATTACAATGTCAGTAACGTTTTTCCCACATTTCGAGCACGTATTAGCACAATGCTAGCTTTTTATAACGTTGTTAGCATGTTTAAACATTGTTGTTAGTATGTTTTGGAACATTGCTAGCATGTTTTAACGCTTTGTTAACATGTTTAGTTAAATGCTATCGGGCCTTAAAACTCTGCTACAATGTCAGTAGCATTTTCCCCACCTTTCAAGCATGTATTAGCGCAATGCTAACATTTTTGCAATGCTGTTAGCATGTTTAGTAAAATGCTATCAAGTCTTAAAGCTCTGTTACAATGTCAGTAGCGTTTTCCCCACGTTTCGAGCACCTATTAGCACAATAGTAGCTTTTTATAATGTTGTTAGCATGTTTAAACTGTTAGTGTGATTTGGAACATTGCTGACATGTTTCAGGACATTGTTAGCATGTTTCATACTCTGGTATCAGATCTTAAAGCTTTGCTACCATGTCAGTAGCATTTTCCCCACACAATAACAAACATGTATTACCACATTGTGTAGAATTTTTACAATGTTATGTTTGAGTATTGTTGTTTGTATGATTTGGAACATTGCTAGCATGCTTTAGAGCATTGTTAGCATGTTTAGTAAATTTTAAGAGGACTTAAAGTTCTGTTACCAAATCAGTAGCATTGTCCCTCGTTGCAAGTATGCATTAGCACACTGTTAGCATTATTTCCCACATTGTTAACATGTTTTAATATTGCTGTTTGTATGATTTGAAACATTGCTAGCATGTTTCAGGACATTTTTAGCATGTTTTGCACACTGGTATCAGGTAAAGCATTGCTACCATGTCAGTATCATTTCCCCCACACTGCAAGCATGTATTGCCACACTGTTTGAATTTTTACCACATTGTTTGTTTGAGCATTGTTGTTAGTATGTTTTGGAACATAGCTAGCATGTTTTAGTGCATTGTTAGCATGTTTACTAAATGTTATGAGGTCTTAAATTTCTGTTACCAAATCAGTAGCATTGTCCCTCGTTGCAACTATGCATTAGCACACTGTTAGCATATTTACCACATTGTTGACATGTTTTAAAATTGATTTGGAACATTGCTAGCATGTTTCAACACAATGTTAGCATGTTTTATACACTGATATCAGATTTTATTACCATGTCAGGAACATTTTCCCCACAGTACAAACATGTATTACCACACTGTTTAGATTTTACTACATTGTTAACATGTTTTAATATTCTTAGTAGCATGTTTCAATGCAATTTTAGCATTGTTAGATATTTTAGTAGATTTGAAAACATTTTTAATATGTTTTAGTATTGTTCGCTAGCATAGCACGTTTAGACCTTGTTATTATATTTAGCACATTAAGAAGATGTTGCTAGCATGTTTTTTACATGCAGTTAGCTTTTTACACGTTTTGCCATGTCAAGCATTATTTACTGTGTGATTTATGTGCTAATGCTGATAGTTGTGTGCTTTCAGAGTTAGTTGTGGCTGAATCAGTGGTGGTGATCAAAAAGCTTCTCCAGATGCAGCCCGAGCAGCACAGTGACATCATCAAACACATGGCCAAACTCATCGACAACATTCAGGTAGAGTTTTGATCTGAACTGTGAACTTTCACATATCAAACAGCCTTCGCAGACCTGACTGTGTGTGCGTGCGTGTGTGTGTCTCTCTCTCAGGTCCCGATGGCTCGTGCCAGCATCCTGTGGCTGATCGGCGAGTACTGTGAACACGTTCCCAAGATTGCCCCTGATGTCCTTCGAAAAATGGCCAAAACCTTCACTAATGAGGAGGACATCGTCAAGCTGCAGATCATCAACCTGGCCGCCAAACTATACCTTACTAACTCAAAACAGGTGAGTGGACCGAGACATGGGGCTGTGGTCAGCATCACAGAGGGGTTAATTTAGTGTTTTATGTTTAGTGTTTACATACTATTATATTTATAATTAATAGATAAGAGATCATAGAATTAGTTTAGGTTTATTGTATTATATTATATTATATTATATTATATTATATTATATTATATTATATTATATTATATTATATTATATTATATTATATTATATTATATTATATTATATTATGTTATATTATATTATATTATATTATATTATATTATATTATATTATATTATATTATACATT